TTAATAATTAAGAAATAAATAATTTAATAACAGTTTGTTGGTTTGTTTGTTTGTTTTAAAAAGATATATATTTTACTTTCAGGTAGAAAAATTATTCCTGGAGTTGTCTTCATAAGCCTTGGATTTCTAACTACTGTTGTTGGCAACAATAAGCCATACTCCTCTGACATCTTTCAGGAGAACAATTCCACTGCTCAGGTAGTGTTTGTCAGGGAACTCTCTTGATTTCATGGAGGAATAGTCACAAATGGGCTAATTAGGACATCTGCACTGATTTTCCAGTTTTTTTTACCTACAGGCAAAACTGTCACTTTCATTTTTAGTGTACTTCAGTAGTTTACAGATGGCAGAGGCTGAAAACTATGCTCAACTCTTCATTTAGCTAAAAAATCCATTTAATGAAATCCATGGATTTGCATGAATAAATGCCACATCAAAAACCGCATTTGCAGAATAGAGTTTGAAGAAGTGACCCAATTCATCACACCCCCTGAAGCCTCACTGACTCCTGCCTCTCTCAGCAGGGTGCTTGCTCACCTGCTGGTGGAGCTGGCTGAATTTGCTGGCCCAGCAGAAAACCATTACCCCGGACACCTTGGGTACAGCTGTGGCTGAGTCTGCAGTTGCAGGAGCTCTTGCAGGGCTCTGCCAGCCAAGGGCAGCCTCCCCCCACACATACAGAGGCTGAAGGACCTCTCCACTTATATTATTTCCATTCCACATCCCCTGCTTCCCACAGTAACCTTGGAAAGAAGTTGCCAAGCCAGTGGGGCAGAGTGATGGCTGATTGGTGAATGTTGACTCTCACAGTCCATGTTTGTACCGGCACCAAGGGAACCAGATACTTCTGACCATTTCAGGAATCAGAGATGCAATATTCAGAACTGATTTGATTCCAGTATTAAGTATAAAATTTGGAACTGCATGAAGCTATTGAAAAGGGGCTTCAATGGTGAAAGACTGTTTTAAAAATTGCTTTCATACAGAATGAACACTTTTCTCTTTCTGTGCACTGCCATCCTGCAAACTATTCTCCCCCAAGTTATATGCTCCCTAATGAACTTCTCAGTCTCAACTTAACAGCACGTTTTACATTGAAGAGGTCCTTAATTTAATGTGCAGTCAGAGGAGCATTGCAAAACAAGGCACTACAAATAGAAGGAAGAGGACAGCACCCAGCCCTACAGCCAACACCATCTAATCAGGGTTTGCAGTGCAGGTACATCAGGTCAAGGCTCACAGCGCACTTCAAACTACTATGATGATGAAAATTATTTCTTCTGTCTTTCTTGGAAAGATGATTCCATGATAGCATAACATAGCTTATTTATTGCCTTCAAGCTGCTTACTTATTGTAGAGACTGAATACCTTGCAGAATAATCACTAAAATTTTACTTCCAAAGCACAGAATGTATTTCTCTGCTCCCTGCCTGACTGGTCTGTAATGAAAAACAGATGGTATTTGTTCATTTGTCAGATTCAGCTAAATCTCCCTCTCTGCAAACAAACAAAACACTCTTTTGGAATGTCTTCGTTGATTGCTGTCATTAACACACCTCTCTAGGAAGTGGTAATTATCCAGCAATTGACTCACTGACCTCCTGCCCACAGCTACTCATTCCTTCTGCCTTTTCACTGTGCCTTAAATGCCACCTTAGCATCACTGCCTTGACTTAACCACTCCTGTCTCCCTCCCTTGTGCTTTCCCTGTCTTCATGCGCTCTCACCAGTAGAACTAGGAACTTCGAAAAGGCTGGAAAGATAAAAGACTCAGACTGTTGAACTATAGGACATTAAATATTTAAATTATTTTCAAATTAAGTGCATAGTCTAGCACTTCAAGGCTCAGAATAGTCCATGTAATTTTTTTAAAGGTAGCGACTTTAATATGTTGAAGACTTTGTTCTTTCCTTTTAAAAATAAAAAAGAAAGAGGTAAGAAAGAAGAAGAAAGAGGAAGAAAGAAAAGAGAAATAAATGAAAAAGGAAAAAGGGAAAAGCAGAAAGATGAAAGGGTAAAATAAGATAAAAAGGCTTATGCCTTTATTAATGTTCAGCTCTTTATCAAAAAGATCAGCTGGGCAGGGGGCCTGACATGGCAATCGCCCTCACTGTCGTAGCCTTACCAGGTAGCCGAAGAGTGAGGAGGCGTGCAGAATCTGTTGGTGAAGCCCCCAGCAGCAACCGTCCCCTCTCCTTTCCTTGTGGTAACACCAGAAAAATCTTGTCTTTTTGTTCCTGCTTTCCCCACACCACTCTAGTCTAATCTTCTGTAGGTTATGGTGACAGGTCAAACGTCGATCATGGGGGGATGGGTTTCTTTTCCTCAGCCAGTGTATTTTACCTGTCCAGCCCCGCCTCAGCTGTGTTTAGTTCTTCATTTAGGGGTGTCCTTATCCCCCAAAACACACTCCCATGGTTCCATGGGTTTCCCTATTTGCATCTCAATCCTAGAATTCCTAGAATGGCAGCGTGGGTGGGGGGTAGGTGATCTTCCAGGTGGTTTAGAGAAAACAAACAGAGAAATTAACATTTCAATATTAGTACTTAACTCAAGCCAGCAGTGTCCCAGTATTGCCATGGGAACCAGGAAGGCTCTTTTGTTCATTACAGTGAGTTAATAATTTTCTGTTCCTTCTATGATCATCAACAGGGAAATCGAGGGGAATGAAATCTATTGGACAAACTTTAGATTTTAAATTAATGCAACCTTCCTGGGAAAGAGCACTTAAGTAAAAAAAGAGACAAAATAACCATAAACTCTTGCAGATAGTTATTATGTATGAGAAGTACTGAAGAAAAAGGATTTACCTATGCCTGGACATGCAGTTGCATTTATTCAATATGAGTAAGTGTAAGCTCATGATTAAACACTTTTCTGAATTTTACCCAGTAAATTCAATTCTGCAGAATCCTGAGCACTCTTCCACTAGTATCAACATGTCCATGAAGCTTTCAAATAAAGCTTCCTATTTCCATCATTCTTCTAAACATCATACACATTTGTTAGCATCATATGCATATTGTTCAGAGTCAATGCTTTCTTAAACCGAACAACATCTTTACTAATTTAAAGAGTCAATTTCTACTAATGCACTATTTCAAGAAAAGTCAATAAAAATACTATCTCAGCAATCACATGAGTTAATGCAAGTGCATCTGAAGGTCTTGCAATACTCTCCTTTTATATCATCCATGCCTTTTATTAGGACACAACGTCAAGTTTAATGTCAGGTGCAGGTAGCTGTGTGAGGAGGGAGGGAAGAGCAGCAATTCTCCATCCCCCTGACACCACCCAAGCCCCTTGGGGCACCAGTGAGGTAGTTGGCAGGAAGGCAGCTGCTCCACCTTCCTGCCTTCTACCTGGTGGCTTCAAGAGGAGAAGCTGACATATCCATTGTGCAAACAAATTGTAATAAAAAACCCCAACAAATCACAGAACTGGTCAGTACAAACCAGCATTTTCTAGCAGATAATCAAGATGTGATTCACCTGACAGAAGCCAGGCATTTGCATCTGATAATTGGCACTGGCTGGCTGAGTGGTCAGGGAAAGGAAAAGAAGGAGGAGGAAGAGTAGGATGACAAGAAAAGCATTTCTGTGCTCTAGTTCTTATAAAATGCAAAACTGGGGTAGGTTAGCTCAACAGCACTTTCAAGGTGCCACTTTTCTCTGTCAGCTGCAAAAACCATGTTAAGGTGGCATGACCAGAAGAAATTTCCTCTCAGTTAAGCTGTAGTGAAATTAATTGATTGTGTACTTTGCTTTATTTGTTGTGATCAATGCAGTACAAATTTTCCTTTGACTCTTCCCTCTGCCTCACTTCTTCTAAACACATTTGTATCAACAATAGTGTTGACACAGGCCTAATTACCCGTGACATACATTAAAAGCTGCAACCACAAGAGAAGCTTAGAGATGAAGAGCAGGCATTTCAAACTGAACCTGGCTATGAATGAACTTTGTAAAAAAACCCAACAAATCACATAAAAAAACCCACATTGAAGAATTGCAGCCATGCAGGATGGTGTATTTAAAAGAAGTGTAGGTGTGGCATTTGGGGAGAGGGTTTAGTGGTAGGCTTGGCAGTGCTGATTTAATGGTTGGTCTTAGGGGTGTTTTCCAGCCTCAGTGATTCTTTGATGCTCTGTGTTCACAGGGCGTCTCTGCACTCCACAGGCTGAACAGCAGAACCCACCACATCCTGGAGTGCAGCAGAGCTCAGAGAGAAACTTTCTTGGAAGGGTTTTTTGGGGCAGATCTGATATTGGACAGCGAATATACAGAGCAAAACACAGGTTTTGCCTCTACACAGAAAGTACTTTGTTTTTTTTTTTTTTTTTTTTTAAATGAATGTAGAAAAATGTGGTTACAATAAAGAAAAACAAGTAAACAAGGGCTATTAGTTCACAAATCACACCAAACAGCTCCCTCTTTAACCAACAGAACCAGGAAGAACAAGCCATACATTACATTATTCGATGTACTAACAAGAGGAGTTCAGTGAGAAGAAGGAAAAGAAATACATCTATATACTCAAGATAGCAATGCACAAATAGGCATAAAAGAGTGCACAAAAATATTCTGAAGCCTTGTGCTTCCCTTTGTGGCATTTAGATAGCTAGATAAATAGCTAGAGATCACACAAATATCTCAAAAGTTAAAATTTCCATGCCATTTTTACCACAGGCATTAGAAATATAAACTGTCAAGTACATAAAGATAACCTTTACACCTGGCTGTTGACTTTTAATTATGTAGTAAGTTTCATAAGCGGTAGTATACTATATCCCCTCTTAAAAATTAAAATAATTCTAACAAAATTTCAAATATTGTGAAGCACTCTGCTGTAAATAATTTTTTTTGAAATGCAAGTGCAAAAAAATTCCTCAGCACAAAATCAGTCACATTTCTGACACTGCAGGGCTTCTCATCTTACTAATTTCTATATATTTCAATTATTTAACATAGCAATATTAGAATTGAATTCGGAGACAATCTTCATGGCACAGTACATTTTTATTTCCCAATAAAGATTCTTCATTTGTTGCATTCCCCAGGATTCTGCTGTCTGGCCATGACCTATTCTGTGGCTTCTGAGTGGTTTTGTTCTCCCATAGCTAATTCGCCACCATTTTTGTACTTTTCAGCAAAATAATCAGAGTCAAAGCTCACAGACAAATCTGGAGGACTCACATAAACATTTCCACTGTCTATTGTGACCTTGTGAATCCTTTGTTTCACTCCTTTTGATTGCCACTTTGGTGTTGGTGATGGCTCCAGAGGATTTATTCCTTCGTACAATCCTTCTCCTGTTTCCAAGGTAATTTTAAACTTATGCCAAGGACAAACAATACATGCTTGTCCATCAATATCCTGCAGGAAGAAGAAGAAGAAAAGATAGCAAGTAATCCTCTGGGACAAAAGATATGTTTGGTAATTTGGTTGTATGGCTGTCTGAGATTATATGTATATGACTGTTTTTTTTTTTCTATGTAATATTCAGATAAAAGCATTACAAAAATTCCATTGGAGTTTTCACATGACTCTATACCTCTGCATTATTTTTATTTTGCTTACATACCTCTATTTCTCCAAGACATAAAGGGCCTCCTTCATCTGAAACAAGGCAGAATACCATATTAATTTATGCAGCAGATTTTATGCTTAATTCTAACAACAGTGAGATCAGGCAGGTAAATATCTTACGGTAGCAGCGAGAATCCAGAGCATGAAATTTCCCCTCATGGTAGAAAACAACAATTTCTCTGCCATTGATTTTGGCTGTTATTCTTTGGGACTTCTTTATGTCCTCTTCTTTGCCAATGATTATAAGACAATCTGGCTCCATTTCAGCTCCTCCTGTGCTTGAGCTGTGTGAATCCACATCCTTAAAACACGTGGAAAAATTAATGAAAAGGTCACTTGTAAAGCAATTCACATTTTTATTTCATGTGAGGAGAGGGAGAAAAGGTTTCAGCGAATGACTATCAACTTGCAGAGGTAGAAAAGTGCAAAAGCTTGGTTCGGTTAGTGTGTTGAGTTACTGTGTGCACTAAGAGAAGTGACAGGACAAGGAAAAACAGCTGCTGGAAACCAGATACCTCAAAGCTCAGGCAAGATAAACTCTCAATCACTATTTGTTTACACCTAATCCACTTTTGGTCCTCAAAATCCACATGCAAACAAATATAAGGATGGCAAATGTAAAATACTATACAGTACAGGTATGCCACAGGTAACATTTACATGTAAATCCATTACTTTTACATAATATTATGGCTAGAAATATAAAGTGATTTAAATCAATAAAATATTATTCTGCAAAGGAAATAAAACATTTTTTATTGAGAAGCTGTATTCAGCCTGACATTTCTAGCAAAGCTTCCTGCCTTTCCTTCCCTTCTTTTACATATTTCAAACATGTAACTGACTTTCCCTCTCACAAGAGAGAATATAAGCAGTTTTATGAAAGCAACCTTCCCATTAAATTTGCTTACAATTAGCTACTGTGTTCCAGTTCTTCCTGAATTCCCAATACAACCTTGCTTCCACAGAAAATTAAAGCTAAAATAAGTATTTATAAACACAGAAAGGGGAACCATGGGCAGGGGGAGGAGGGGGTGTCTCTGGCTGCAGGGGGATGCACTGTACCTTTGGTCCATACCAGATTGCAATGGAGATGAGAAAGCAGATGAAGAAATGAAGACTGAGGATGATAAGGTCCAGCATTGCCTCCCTTCACGGTCTGTCACCACTGCCCTGCCTTATTCCTATATGTCACTAGGTGCTTCTCAGACCCTCTTTAAGTGCAAGCAGGAGGAAATGGGGCCAGGCCCTGTAGCACCCTATGACAGGACTTTACAGGTTCAATGCATCAGAAACCGCCTCTGCCAGGGCTGATAAGAGCCAGGGACATGCTGGGGCTGGCCTGATAAGAGAAGAGCAGAGCTTCCAATTCCCCCTGTTGCTGTCCTCACTGTGAGCCCAGTACTGCTGCCTGCTCCCAAAACCCTGCTCAGAGCCACACATAGCCATGTGAGGATCCTGGCTATCCTCAAGATCAGCAAATGCAGGTTTCCTCATAAGCCACCATGCTGGGAAGGCCGGTTTAAGTGCCATGGTGGCATTTCCAAGACCAGTGGTTAACTGATCTGATCTTAACTGCTAAGACCAACTCCCTGCTTTTCAGTTTAAGGAACTGCCACCCAGTCTTACCCAGAAAGTGAAATGTCACTGCCAGACTCACAGGATGATCCAGTAAGGCATTCACACTTAGTTTTTTCAAGAGATAAGCAAGTTAACCACAGGAGCCAGAGTAGGAAATTCCCAGTTTTTGCTATCACCATTTGGCTGTCTCTCCCTATAAACTTTCCAAATTGGCAAAGATACTAAGATGCAGAAGCCTGTAATTAAAACCTCACTTATTAAGACGCCTCTAAAAAGCCCTGTGTATATAAATGTGTACATCTCTAGAAAGAAGAAACACACACACACACATATGTATTTGTGTACACACATATCTGTTTATATGTATTACAACACACCTAACCTCCAGCTCATTTAGCAATGACTTCTTACACTCAGCTTGGATTTTGCACAAATAAATTATCCGGGCTCCCATTCTGAACCCTGGCTGAGACCATCAGCAGCATGGCCTAAATTGTGCAAGCAATCAGTAGCCAAAAAGTTTCTTTCACAGCTGATACTCGAAGGCTTATCTACCAACAAATGTAGACTAGGGACTACATTGGCACATCAGGGGCCCTCCAAAAGAAAACCCTCAAGGCAACTTTCTTCCCTTAGATAAGAGGAAACAGGTCACATCACCTCCTCACAGATCCCAAGACGGAATCCTGAACTTTTGGAGCAACTTGAGTTGTGGAAGCGAGCACACTTCAATCAGTAAGAGGAAAGTTTATTTCCAGGTTTATGCAGAGTAAGTTAGCCTTCTAACAGTTTTTTCCTGATATTTTCTTAAGACTTTGGCTGCTTTCATATTTTCTGAGTCACTCCAGACAGCATGGATGGAATTGTTCCTGCTGCCAAGTGCCACCTGAGGGGAGCAGCCAAGAGGTTTGTGAGCAGCATAAGCATTCCTTCTCCAGCTGGAAACAGAGCTAGATTTGGGAATTGTAGCAATTCACTGCTGTACCCTGCTCTGAATAATTTTTCCTTATTTTGGATAAAAGGAAAAATATCCCTGCTGTAGGGCACATTTTCTTTTATTATTTATTTTATTAAATTTATTTATTTTATTTATTCCCCTCTATGTTTCCATGTCAAACTTAAAGAAGTGGGTAATGTCAACAGGATGGCAGTTGCTACACAAATTGCCCAGACATTCTCATTCAGAACCCGAGTTTTTGTTATCATTACAAAGCCTTACCAATATTTTGGTCATATTTGTGGATTTTGGGATGCCTCATTCAGGAATAAAATTTGCCAGTCTGAGATTATATTTTTGGTCGTATTGCTGCTGTTGGGTATTTTTTGGTGGTTGCTGTTGTTTAAACCCACCAGAAGCATATGCTTGTGACCATTTCATTTCAAGCAGCTGGTGCAATTCTTGCGTTAGTTAATTAATGAGCTGCACAGACTGAGTAGGAGACAGTAACAGGCACACTGCAATGGGATGTATATGTCTAAATCCTGCCCTGCTTATGGCAAAAGGTTTCTAAAACATTGTAATAGTTATTCCTGCCTGGTGTGTTTTAAGGCAGAGCAATGAAGTCCCTTGCTCTGAGACTGTATCCTCCTCATTTAGCTCTATTGCTGTTCATAAGATTTTTAACTACACTCACTGAACCCGCTGATTTTTTTCTTTTTTTTTTGTCATTTTCACATTACAAATAAACCCTATACATTTTTGTGATGCAAGAGCTCTGTTTCTGTGTGGTCAGGCAAGAGCAACATTTACAGCTGTGATGCTTACAGCTGGTATCAATTGCGCTATCAAAGCCCTCAGCACACTGATGACAGCTATGTATACAAAAACAATTGACAAACCTAAGCAGGTGGCATCAAAAGCTCGGTGGCTGCTTTTTAAGTAATAATGGTGAAGCATAAACCACCCCCACCCTGGGCAGAAAGGGTCTGTAAAGCACATTCCCAAGGCACTTGTGCCAGCCTCCAAACCTTGTGCAGGATTATATCTACTTTGGCCATTCCTGAGAAATATTTTGAACTTAATCCCAGTGGCAGGGTTTAGATAGCTTGGTAGGAAGTTTTCATATTTAAATTCTTGGAGTTCTTCACTTTTTTCCTCCAAATTGCTCATCAGAAGAGGCCTGCCTAAAAATCAAAACAATTTCTTCTTCCTGCTCTTGGTGGCAGCATTTTCCAGGCTGTGAAGGCTTGGTCACTGCAGAGGGCTCCTCAAGGTTCCTCTGACAGCTGATACCTAATACAATTCACAGGTCCCTTGTTCATATTATTTTCCTCCAAATGCCCTCATCTTTTTATGATCCTTCTTAAAAGATAAAGTCAGAAAGCAGAGTCAATACACTGAGTATTCACTGCAGTTAATAAAACAGTTGCCTCTTTTATCTTACAAACACCACTCTTTTAAATCATACCCACACATCATACATTTCCTTTTTCACCGGATCATGTAGTTAGCTAATGCTCTATTTCAATTTCTGTAAAATTTCCAGGAGCATTTCACTTTTTTTTGAACTGAAAAAATGCAGCCTAGACAGTTTTTGTTCACCATTTTAGTGTTTTTTCCTTTCCTTTTTGTTTTGACTTCAAACTTTGATTATTTTACCTGATTGATTTCAAGTATTTTCTCCAGCTAATCAAAACTCCTTTGGATTTTAGCCTATCCTCAGGAGCAGCGGTAGCTCCTCCAGGATGCATTTTGTCATGCTTAATAAGAAAAAAGTGCACACTCCTGCATTCAATTACTTCCCCAAAAAAACCCAAGCAGCACTACATTGAATTCTTGCAGAGCAATTATATTATTTGGAGAAAAGGCACAGAGTAAAAAACAAGAGTTTTAAAACTTATCATGTATATAGGTACTTGATAAAAATAGTTGGAAGACAAAGCTATTCAGATTTTATATCCTATTTTCAACTGGATAGCCAGCTCAAAATATTTGAGAAGAGACAAGCAGATAAATCTTTTGTTCTGCTTTTAGAAAATCAAAGTGAAACAATACAGGATTTTTCACTGGCTTTCACTGCCAGAAGTGCAGTTTTATCTCCTGTTCCATGTTCTCTCCAGAAACTGCAGTTTACACACAACAGTTCTGAAAGGGCAAGTTTTGCAATCTGTATTGCAAAGAATGTTTTCCTGAGCAGTAGCGTAAAAGATCTCAGATAAATCTTCAACAATGACTCATCTAATGTTAGTTTCAACAAGATTCATCTTCTACATTTTTATCACAGGTCACTTCAAAAATTTACTATTAATATTAATTTTCATGTGTGTTTAGGTAATTCAGTGTCAGTCTTATTTCTTTAATTCTGTCTTATAATGTATGCCTGTATATCCAAGGAGGTTAAGAGCTATACCCAGTATAATATCTTAATATTATGTTATTACATACCATCCAGATCAATTGTATGTTTCCTATGTGGAGTCTTTATCACATTTCTTCCACATGACCTTTCACAATGGAAGTTTCTTTGATAAGCAAATGAACCTGCCATCCTGTCAGGTTTGATACTATTTCTAGATGCATTTGCACCGTCACTTCTATAGTAAACTGTTAGGCATAACTACTAGCAAAAATTGTTGTTATCTAAGCCTCCCTTTTTAGCAACAAATAATTCTGAATCGAATAATTCCCTGTAGTTTTGTGGATGACAGTAGCAGTAATAAGGAAATTGTCTTTGTAAGAAGCCAAATTATCTCACAGACCTGAAAATATATCCTGTGCCACTAGAAAAATATACTTTCAAAATATTCCTTCCAACTTCTGTACCAGTGAGGGAGTGTGCAACCCCAGGGAATCCTGGTGTCCAATCCTAGAGGGTTGGAAATTCCCCTCTGTGTCACAGAAGGCAGAGCCCAAAGCCTTCAGCCCAGATTAATGTACAGTCACCAAGGAGATGCACAGGTCTGGCTTCCAGTGAAGTGTGGAGGGGACTGAACAACAGCCATAAAACATGTCAAAAGGCAATGATGCACCATAGAGAAATCTATTATAAGAATTTTTGTGTTGTTTTTAGCATAACTATTAACAGTGATTTCAACAGCAGCAAAAGAGAACATCAGAAGGCCTGACACTACGTTCAGGATGAATGACTTCTGGTAGTATCCACCTTATATATAATCAGTAGAAGTTTCTCCTTCCCATGCCTACATCCCTATAGAAGCCTTAGTTCCTGTGAGGAATTTTTTTTTCCCCTCATAAAATGTGGAAGAGTAATTAAGTGTCTTTAAAATTATTTCATAATTCTAACATTGCTGGAAAAAAAAAAAAAACCTGGCTTTTTAATTGAAGAATCTCATATTAGAATGCAAGGAAGTTCTTGTTCTTTCAAATCAAGAATGTACTGTAAAAGTACTGTAAATTAAGACCAGTTTGCACTATCATTTTTATGTATGAAGACCTTACTGCAAACTAGGAGGAATTCTGAATGCCCAATTTATCCTTTCTTCTTAACTGTCAATAATATGCTGCTAAGGAAGACTTCAAGAGTAACTTTACTGTTTAGTCTATGCACAACAACACATCATCCATGCCCCTAATTTTTTCTCTCCCTTCAGCTCTGCTTTGTTAATCTGTCCCATTCGCAACTATTTCCATAATTTCAGTCAACACTTTGTCCTCTTGTTAGTTCTCTAGTTAGTTCCTTAGTTCCTCTTGCATGAGTCACATAAAACATGCCATATTTTACTGCAGTTACTGTGCCTCTGACT